AAAGCATTAAAAAACGCATTGGTGTGAATGGATCCTAAGTAAATCACCCCTGTATGTAGGAACATAGTCACCCTCTCTTGCTTGCTCCTGAACTGGAATATGGAATTTGTAGTGTGCATAGAGCAGTGCACATGACTGCAACTAGTGTGCATAGAGCAGTGCACGTGACTGCAACTAGCGTGCACTGCTCATTACAAACAAATGCTAGAGAGAGGGAAAGGGAGAGGTTTGGAACCTCGCAGAGGATGTTACAAGGAGGCAAAAAACACAAGAAACTATTTAATGAAAAATAGAGTACAGCGTTTTCAAGAAGAATTTAAAGCGGAGCTCTACCCAAATGGGGAAGTTCCATTTTAAAGAATGATCCCCCCGCTTACCATTAAGGACTGGTACCTTTTGGGAGAGGTGGGGGGCAGGTACCTGAATTTGACAGGTATCAGCTCCTACTTCCTTTTTCGATTGCCTAGGCCAGTGTTTTTCAACCTTTCTTGTGCAAAGGCACACTTTTTTCATGAAAAAAATCACGAGGCACACCACCATTAGAAAATGTTAAAAAAATTTATTGAAAAACTTTTTGACTTGAGGGCCGCAATGGGTTCATATATTGGACCCGGGGGCCGGACCAAGAGTAGATGAATGATGTGTATGTGTCATCCATAGTAAGTATAGTAATATTCCCCCATAGTAAGCATAGTAGTAATTAATCCCCCCTATAGTAATTCATCCCCCATATAGTAATTCATCCCCCATAGTAATTCATCCCCCATATAGTAATTCATCCCCCATAGTAAATTCATCCCCCATATAGTAATTCATCCCCCATAGTAATTCATCCCCCCTATAGTAAATTCGTCCCCCATATAGTAATTCATCCCCCATAGTAATTCATCCCCCATAGTAATAATCCCCCATATAGTAATTCATCCCCCATAGTAATTCGTCCCCCATAGTAATTAATCCCCCATATAGTAATTCATCCCCCATAGTAATTCATCCCCCATATAGTAATTCATCCCCCATAGTAATTCATCCCCCATAGTAATTAATCCCCCATATAGTAATTCATCCCCCATAGTAATTAATCCCCCATATAGTAATTCATCCCCCATAGTAATCCCCCATATAGTAATTCATCCCCCATAGTAATTCATCCCCCATATAGTAATTCATCCCCCATATAGTAATTCATCCCCCATAGTAATTCATCCCCCATATAGTAATTCATCCCCCATAGTAATTCATCCCCCATAGTAATTCACCCCCCATATAGTAATTCATCCCCCCTATAGTAATTCATCCCCCATATAGTAATTCATCCCCCATAGTAATTAATCCCCCATATAGTAATTCATCCCCCATAGTAATTCATCCCCCTATAGTAATTCATCCCCCATAGTAATTCATCCCCCATAGTAATTCATCCCCCATATAGTAATTCATCCCCCATAGTAATTCATCCCCCATAGTAATTCATCCCCCATATTAAGTCCCCAAGCCCCCCCTGTGTCAATTCACTTACCTTTGCTCCGCGCGTTCCTCTCGCCGTTCCGGTGTAGCATGAAAATCTGTCTCCTATGAGGATCTGTCCCCCTCGACGTATCTGCGCATGTGCCAGTTTCAGGCATTAGCAGCCGATCGGCGATCTCCGGCACATGGCAGATACGTCGAGGGGGACAGATCATCCTGACAGTATCACGCTCCGCAGGCCGGATTAAAAGGTCCGCCGGGCCGTATACGGCCCGCGGGCCGTAGTTTGCCCATTGCTGTTCTAATGATTGGTCTATTTGTGAGCCGAGGCCACATGTTACGGATGAAATTGCAATTTTTCCCACGGCACACCAGACAATATCTCACGGCACACTAGTGTGCCGCGGCACAGTGGTTGAAAAACGCTGGCCTAGGCGATGCGAAGCGGAATTTGTCCTCCCCTCCTCCCTCCCCGTAGTCTTCGAGGACACGTGGCAGGTCCCAAAAGACTACGGGACTATTCAGAAAGTGCAGCGCTACTCGCGCATGCGCAGTGGGCATCCTGCTGTGAAGCCGCAAGCTGTCACAGCCAGGTGCTCATACTGAAGATGCTGGCGCCAGGAACACCGGCCGGCTGGTGAAACGGGCTGCAGGGAGGACAGGTAAGTGGCTGGTTTTTAAAAGTCAGCAGCTACAGTTTTTGTAGCTGCTGACTTTTATTTTTTTGCAGTGTGACTGGAACTCCGCTTTAAGTATGGATTATGTTTGGTGAATAAGAATATAGCTTATGATACTTTAAAGCAAAACAGCCCACTCAGTTTAAAATAGAAATGCATAAATAAAATATATATACTTTTTTTAAAGTGATCACATATTCTCTGTCCTCAGCTGCATAAAGGGCTTTAAAGAGAATGGAGTGGAGACTGCAGGGGGCGTGTTGGCAGGAGGCAGAGAAACTGCAGTACACTGATCTTGCTAGTGATTAGCTGTGCAGGGGGTGTGTCAGCAGAAGTCTGACCACTGGATTGCTCCCAAGTAGGATTTTCATACATATACATGGCAACACAGACACACATCAGAAATATGATATGTTGGGCTGACATACAGTTTAAGATCAGATATACAGCAACTTCTGATGCAGAAAATATTTATTGAGAATAAACTCTATCAGATCAATCTTGTTCAGTTTCCATAATGCTAGACATACTTCCTGCTTCAGCCGAACCTTTTCTTTTCCATTGTGTCATCACTGTACTATATAGAGGATGAAACAAAGCACGTGATGATGGGGAAGTCGCAGCCAAGGTAAAGACTGCAGTGCTGCCTGCTACCTTGCTGTAATGATTTCCTTCATTAACAATAGATCACCAGTGTGAGTCTGGACTACAATGACAGGCAGACCAACCACATGCTCTATACAGACCATCATCCTGGATTCTTACAAAACTACATGGATCAGCTTCACTTTTTCACTTTGCCATGTGGCCATTGTAAAGGTGTAGAAAGCCATGAAATGCCCCTCAGTCCTAGTCCTGACGTATTCATACTGAAGAAGAGCATCTTCAAAGGCTTTATATGAATGTCACTACAGGAAAGAGCAGAGCATTACTGGAAGTTTCTCAGTGTTGGCTGTCTACATTATTCTGGGAAGAAATCCATTGGAATTTTAGGCTCAGTGAATAAATGACATGAGAATATGACTGCCCCATGCCATGTCATACTATCCAGCATGTGTGTCCCTGCTAACCTGAACATCCATTCCTGTCCCCAGACACGTGGAGCTGCTACAAGACAAGGTGGTATGCTGGTGGCTGGGAGTCCCTGGATTTCATCATCAGACTAGACCAGAATACATCATTGATTTCAATGGTGACCTTTATTCCAGAGGAATTAACACACTGTTGGAAACTAAAATTACAGAACTGCTACTCAATAAATAAGACAGAGAGGAGGGAGAAAGAGGAATAGAAAAAGAGGGGAGAGAAGGGGGTAGAGACAGAGGAGAAAAAGAGTGGTGAGATGGGGGGGAGAGCAAGAGGAGAGAAAGAGAGAAAAGAGAAGAGAGAAAGGGGGATAGAAAGAGAGGGGGATAGAGAGAGAGGAAAGAGAGGTGAGATGGGGGGAGAGCAAGAGGAGAGAGAGAAGAGAGAAAGGGGGATAGAAAGAGAGGGGATAGAGAGAGAGGTGAGATGGGGGGAGCAAGAAGAGAGAGAAGAGAGAAATTGGGGATAGAAAGAGAGGGGACAGAGAGAGGAGAGAAAGAGAGGTGGGATGGGGGGAGAGCAAGAAGAGAGAGAAGAGAGAAAGGGGGGAAAGAAAGAGAGGCAGATAGAGAGAGATGAGAGAAAGAGAGGTGAAATGGGGGGGTAGCAAAAAAGAGAGAAAGGGGGGACAGAAAGAAAGGGGGGTAGATAGAGAGGAGAGAAAGAGAGGTGAGATGGGGGAGAGTAAGAGGAGAGAAAGGGGGGATAGAGAGGAGAGAAAGAGAGGTGAGATTGGGGAACCAGCAAGAGAAGAGAGAGAGAAGAGAGAAAGGGGGATAGAAAGAGAGGGAAGAGAGGGGGATAGAGAGAGAGAGAAAAAAAGAAGTGAGATGGGGGATAAAAAGTGGACAGGGAAGTATAGAGAAAAAGAGAGGGAGAGAAGGAGAGAGAAGAGGGGGAAAGAAAAGAGAGGGGAGAAGGAGAGATGGGATGGGGGGAGCGGGAAGAGAGAGAGAAGACAGGAAAAGAGAAGTGATGGTGGATAGAAAGAGGACATGGAAGGATAGAGAGATGGGGGGGGTAGAAAGAGGAAAAGAGAATGGCAGAAAAAGAGGGGAGAGAGGAGGAATAGAGAGAGAAGAGAAAACAGACAGGTGATATGGGGGAGAGAAAGAGGACAAGGAAGGATAGACAAAGAATGAGAGGAATGATGAGAGAGCAGAGAGAGAGATGAGATGGGGAGATAGACAGAGGAGAGAGAAGGATAGAGGGAGAGGGGGATAGAAAGAGGAAAAGAGAGAGGGACAAAGACAGGGAAATAAATATAAAAAGAGAGGGTTAGAAAAGAAGAGGGAGAGAAAGGGAATAGGATAAAAAGGGAGGGAAGGGGTAGATTGTAGAAGGGGGGGGGGGGGGGGTAGAGAGAGATGATAGAAAGAGGGGATAGAAAGAGGAGACGGGGGAGATATAAAGAAGGTAGGGAAGCGAGAGCAATAAAAGGATAGATAAAGAAAGGGTGAGCGAAAGGGAAAAGAGAACCAGGGGATAGATAAAGAAAGGCTATGAAAGAGAAGAAAGAGAGGGAGATAGAAGAGCCAGAGAGTAAGATTGGGGGGTAAGAGAGAAAGAGGGACAGAGGAAGAGGGGTAGAGAGAGATGGATAGAAAGAGGGGATAAAGGGAGAGAGGAATGCAAAAGGAGGGAAAGAAAAAAAAAAGAAGGGAGAAAGAAAAAAAAGAACGGAGAAAAAAAGAAAGAAAGAAAGATAGATAGATCAGTGATCCATGTGATGGGTAGACAACGGTAGGTGACGTAGATGGAGTCACTTACCTTCTGTACTTGGTCATGGTTGAGCTCGGTGAAGAAGTACGCCAGCAGATGAGATGCTATCATGACTAGAACCGGCTGAGCTCCCCTCTAAGGACAATAAATACGATATAAATATGACCTCTCTAGAAATACGTCCCTCTCTCTCTCGGTCCCTCTCTCTCTCTCTCTCGGTCCCTCTCTCTCTCTCTCCCTCTCGGTCTCTGTGTGTAGCCGTGTGTAGCGCTCTCCTCAGTGGATGTGCCGGCTTTCCTCTGACTTGTGCTCTCTATTACAATGCTCTCCATTCAGTGATGTCGGAGCTGCCAAGCCCCCAGTGATGTCACTGCTTCCCATTAACCCGTTCCCCGCCGAGAGCACGTTCTCTGCATCATCATCATCATCATCATCATCATCACCGCCTCTCCCTCCTCCTCTCCCCTGTGAGTCAGTGTCATGTATGTGATCGGGGTGTAGAGAGGAATGGAGGAGGACAGGACCATCTATATACAGTCTATATACAAGGAGATACTTGGTATCCATCCGGAATCCAGGGATGGGGTACAGGGCACTCCCCACCATCATTCCTAGAGACCACCTAATGGGCTCCACTCACTCATCTTTCATATCTTTATTGAAGCCACGTGACTGTCATTGACACGTCTTATTGGCCTCTACTGACAATACCTGACACTTTGTATAACACCTTCTCCTAGAGATCATGAGTGTGGTGAATACAGATTGGTGCACAGTAATTGTAAGCCGTCATGTATGTCCTGTGATGGGGCACTGATTGTTCTTCGACACCACCCGCCATAATGGTGACGAGGATGATGATGATGGGAGCCCGCTATAAACATTGCCGGTGTAATACGGCACATAACAGGCGATGGGTTACGATGTACAGGAACCGGTACGACAGTCTATTGGTTTAGGACAGGGGTGTGTGAAAGGCCGACCGGAAAAGAGCCAATCGGAGTGCTCGTGGGCGTGGTCGCCCAACTCGGTGTTCAAGTCTGAGCAGCACGCTGGAGGCTTGATGTGGGCGGGGCGGAGAGATGCCGGCGTGACAGCGCTCTCCTCCCTGGCCGGTGTATGGCACGGAGTGAGCTATGGGTGATGCTGCATAGAGATGAGGGAGAGGGGCAGAGTGGAAGATGCTGCCAATGGTGTATTCAGGTGTCGTGCTGCCCTAGGTAGCACACAAATTGGCTCCCCCCACAGAAAGACCCTGACATCGAGCAGCATCCCCCACGAAGAGAGCCTGACATTGACCAACAACACTGCAGCCCCCCACCCGAGAGACCCTTCCACGTCCCCAGGAACAAGAGTCAGGCTCTGCATAAACCATCAAGCAGCCCGCAGCCTCTCTCAGATCCCACCAGGTCCCCATGCTGCGTGTGTCCCTTCTTCCATCCCTTCCTTTGGGGGGCAGCGCTGCCCCCCTGAAAAATGACACTGACCCACTCAGAGGTGTATTTACCACAAGGCAAACGAGGCATTTGCCTAGGGGGGCAGCACTGCCCCTTGGAAGAAGGGACAGAAGAAGGGACACACGCAGTAGGGGACCTGGTGGGTTCCGAGATAGGCTGTGGGTTTCATGACGGTGTATGTACAGCCTGACTCTCGTTCCTGGGGATGTCCAGAGCTGTGAAGGTGAATGTCTTTCTCTCTCTCGCCATGGGTGATGGTGGCTGGTGTATGGGGGCAGTGGTAGTGGAAGGCTCAGGGTAGGGGTGTTGATGGTCAATGTCAGGCTCTCTCTGCACGGAGGGGGGGGGGGGGGGGGGTACTGATTTTTTTTATTGCCTAGGGCAGCACAAAAGTTAATACACCACTGGCCCCACTGAAATATGCTGCTGCCCCCCCCCCCCCCCGATAAATGCCGCCCTAGGCAAATTCCCTGTTTGCCTTGTAAATACACCCCTGGATACTGCTAGGATCACTGTAGAAGGCACACCTAGGATCACTGTAGAAGACACACCTAGGATCACTGTAGAAGACACTGCTAGGATCATTACAGAAGACAATGCTGGAATCATTGTAGAAGACACTTCTAGGATCATTGTAGAAGACACTGCTGGGATCATTGTAGAAGACACTGCTGGGATCATTGTAGAAGACACACCTGGGATCATTGTAGAAGACAGTTCTGTCATTGCAGAAGACATACCTGAGATCATTGCAGAAGACTCACCTAGGATCATTGTAGAAGACACTTCTAGGATCATTGTAGAAGACACACCTAGGATCATTGTAGAAGACACTTCCGGGATCATTGTAGAAGACACACCTGGGATCATTGTAGAAGACACGTCTAGGATCATTGTAGAAGACACACCTGGGATCATCGTAGAAGACACTTCTAGGATCATTGTAGAAGACACGTCTAGGATCATTGTAGAAAACACCCCTGGGATCATTGTAGAAGACACTTCTAGGATCATTGTAGAAGACACGTCTAGGATCATTGTAGAACACACCTAGGATCATGGTAGAAGACACTTCTGGGATCATTGTAGAAAACACTTCTAGAATCATTGTAGAAGACACACCTGGGATCATTGTAGAAGACACTTCTAGGATCATTGTAGAAGACACACCTAGGATCATTGTAGAAGACACACCTGGGATCATTGTAGAAGACAGTTCTGTCATTGCAGAAGACATACCTGAGATCATTGTAGGAGACTCACCTAGGATCATTGTAGAAGACACTTCTAGGATCGTAAGCTCGAAAGAGCAGAGCCCTCAATCCCCTCATGTTTTGCATTGTATTGGTATTGTTCTGTCACATGTTCTGTCCCCCTCTGTAATGTACAGCGCTGAGCGAACTATTGGCGCTTTATAAATACTGTATTATAATAATAATAATAATAATAATTGTAAAAGACACACCTAGGATAATTGTAGAAGACACTTCCAGGATCATTGTAGAAGACACACCTGGGATCATTGTAGAAGACACGTCTAGGATCATTGTAGAAGATCCACCTAGGATCATTGTAGAAGACACTTCTGGGATCATTGTAGAAAACACTTCTAGAATCATTGTAGAAGACACACCTGGGATCATTGTAGAAGACACTTCTAGGATCATTGTAGAAGACACTTCTAGGATCATTGTAGAAGAGACGTCTAGGATCATTGTAGAAGACACAGCTGGGATCATTGTAGAAGACACTTCTAGGATCATTGTAGAAGACACACCTAGGATCATTGTAGAAGACACTTCTAGGATCATTGTAGAAGACACACCTAGGATCATTGTAGAAGACACTTCTAGGATCATTGTAGAAGACACACCTGGGATCATTGTAGAAGACACTTCTGGGATCATTGTAGAAGATATTTCTAGGATCATTGTAGAAGACACTTCTAGGATCATTGTAGAAGATACTGCTAAGATCATTGTAGAAGACAGTGCTAGGATCATGGTAGAAGACAGTGCTAGGATAATGGTATAGAAGACATTTCTAGGATTGTGGTATAGAAGACATTGCTAGGATCGTGGTAAAAGACACTGCTAGGATCATTAAAGAAGACACTGCTAGGATCATTGTAGAAGACACATCTAGGATCATTGTAGAAGACACATCTAGGATCCTTGTAGAAGACATTGCTAGGATCATGGTATAGAAAACATTGCTAGGATCATTGTAGAAGACACTTCTAGGATCTTTGTAGAAGACATTGCTAGAATAATTGTAGCAGACATTGCTAGGATCATGCTAGAAACCCTTTCTTCCACTGCATTTCAGCGGAACACAATATGTGCATTGTGGTGCATTGTCCAGTGCTGTAAGTCTTTTGGGGTGCTATTCACAATAAATGGCACTGTACCACAGTAGGACATGAGCATTGACACAAATTACTATAATGCATAAGTTTGAATGGGCTTGAGCTTAAGAAAATCATATGATCTTTTCTTCTGTCAATGACATTTTCCTCTCCAGCTCCCTCAATCTACTTGCTATTACCAAAACCAGGCTCCAGGAATCCGACACTGCCTCTCCAGCTGCCCTGTCCCATGGTGTCCTCCTCTGGACTCACTCACCCAGACCCAGCAGATGAAAAGGAGGCGGAGTTGGACTTCTCCTCTCACCACAAAGCCCCTTCCAGGTTCTTCTTACACCTCCCTCTCTTTCCCTCTATTCCTTTGAAGTGCACTGCATTCGTTTTTTTCTCCAGTTTGAAGATTGCAGTAATTTACCGGCCTCACAGCCCTGTGGCACACTTTCTCGATGATATCTCCACATTGCTACCATACTTTCTCTCCTCTGAAGTATCTGCCATCATTCTTGGTGACTTTAACATTCCAATTAATGTTAACTTCTCAACTACTCAACATAACCTCCTCTTTTTACCTAACACAAATGGACTCAAACCGCCACTCACTCCAATGGCAACACCCCTGACCTTGTATTCTCCCTCTTCTGCACTCCCTGCAGCTTCTTTATCATCCCCTTTCCTCTCTCTGATCACAACCTTATCAGTTTCACACTCTCCCTGTCTCCTACCTCATATGCCGCCAACCTACTAATGGTTATCCACAGGGACTTTTGCCACCTCAACCCTTCCCTTCTTCATCCTGCTACTGACTGCCTTTATGATAAAATCACACCCCTATCATGTATGCAAATTATGCCTTTGAATATTTTAATGGTCTGTTGAGTTTATAACACAGACTAAGGGTTTTATGTGATTCTACTACCAATGCATTTTTATTGTGATCCTTATGGGCAAGCATTGTGTGTAATTTAATGCTATTTGTTTCTATGATCACACTTCATGTCAATTGTGTACAATTTGGGTCAATAACCCCCCCCCCCCCCCCACAGTTGGAGGAAGCTGCCCAACATCATGTGATTTCACCATTTAGCTTTACAAAGACTGTGTATCAGGCAGGATTGGCTTTGAGGAAGAGGGGACTGTCCCTTGAAACACGTCAGCCATCTGAGGGACTTCTCGAGATTTGGGAGTTGACCTGGTGACCTAGTCGCTTTGGAAATTATGATGCCTTTGATACATAATTGTTTGT